GGGGAACTCCATAGGTAACTGTATTTTCCTTGGATTTAAAGCTGCCTATTGAAACACAAAAGGTTCTATTGGACAGGTAGGATTTAAGCCAGCTGAATACCAACCCGGAAGTGCCAACCCAATTTTCTAATCGAGATAATAGAATGTCATGATCAACTGTGTCAAATGCAGCGCTCAAGTCAAGTAGAACTAATATTGAAATTTTATTACGGTCATTGTTTAGACGGAGGTCATTGACTATTTTCACTAGTGCTATGATGTTGACGGAAGCCTGATTGATGGACATCAAAACAGTTATTCAGAGCTAAAAAGCCATTAATCTGTTGGAAAACAATTTTTTCTAATATTTTAGCCAAAAAAGGTATATTTGATATTGGTCGATAATTGCTTAGAATAGATGAGTCCAGATTATGTTTTTTGAGAAGTGGTTTAACTACCGCAGTCTTTAAAGCCTGAGGAACGACTCCAGAGGAGAGTGACTTATTAATTATTTGTAAAAGATCAGGAGTAAGAACATCTGACACCTTTAGGAACAACCTAGTAGGTATGATGTCAAGGGAACAGGTTGAAGAATTCATATGATGTAAAGTGTAACTCAAATCTTTTTGAGTGACCAGGTTAAAGTGGGTCATCATAGGTAAGTCCTGTTCGATGTAAAACATAGTAAGTTGTTTCCTAACAGCAGAGGAGTTTACTTTCTCCCTTATTGTCACCGTTTTATTTATAAAAATGCAGCAAATTTGTCACAGGCCTCAGAGGAGAGAAATTCACGGTTAACCGAAGAAGGTGGATTTATCAATCTGACAACAATCGAAAACAGAGCACGAGAGTTGTTAATTGAGGTAGAAATGATATTAGAGAAAAAACTCTCTCTTGCATTTCTCAATTCAAGATTAAACATTTTGAGTTTATTTTTGTAAATATCTAAATGGGTTTGCAGCTTGGTTTTATGCCACTGATGTTCTGCTTTCCTTCATTCTTTCTTCCCTTTTCTAACTGACTCAAAATTTCTCCAAGGTGGTTTACGTTTTCCAGAGATTATTTTTGTAGTAACAGGAGCAATGGTGTCAATAACCTTCTCAATGTTAAAATTAAAGTTGCCTACTAGATCACTCAAAGAAGTACAGGAGTGTATAGTGGTTGACGGAAAAGCCTGAATAAATTGTTCGGCAGTAGTTTCTGTAATTAATCTTTTTGAAACTACTTGTGTACAGTTGTCTTTTTGCACAAGGAGAAAACTGTCCCAAAAAATACAAAAGTGATCTGAACGTGCTACATCAAGCACTACAATGTTAGATATAATGAGTCCTTTAGAAATAATAAGGTCCAAAGTGTGTCCATGATTATGTTTGGGTTCCAGGACATGTTGGAGCAGTCTGTAGTTGTTCAGGATCTGACGTAGCTCTTTACTGCCTCGATCAAGGGGATTATCAATATGAAAGTTAAAATCACCAACAATAAGAACAAAATCAAAATCAACCAAAATTACGGACAATTATTCAGTGAAATCATCAAAGAAGTTTACACAGAGTTTCGGAGGTCTGTATAGAGTCAGCAGCAAGATACGAGAGGATGAGTTTAGTTGCACTGCAACATATTCAAAAGATAAAAAGTTAATTTAAGTTATTTGCTTACAGCTGAAGGCAGAATTAAACAAGACTGCAACTCCACCTCCCTTTTTGTCTATTTTAGTCTGGCTTATAAAGCTGAAATTTAGAGGACATGATTCAATAAGAGTAGATGAGCTGTTATTTTGATTGAGCCAAGTTTTGGTCAGGAACAAAAAATCAAGATGATCAATAATAAAGTCTAGAATTAGATATGATTTTCTTGCCAAAGATCTAATATTCAATAAAGCCAATTTTAATATGCAGCATGGAGCTTTAAGATTTCTGTTTGGTTTCAACATTGGTAGAAGTGGAATAGATAGTAAATTTTGCAATTTACAGACTTTTTTGTCTCTGCGTGATTTTATTAATTTTTGTCTGTTATTTATCAGAAATGATTTTATTGAGGGTCCCTCGAAAGTAGAAGTTGATTTCACTGAGCTGATGTCAGGAATATGAATCTCAGCAGCTTTCTTCTGTAATATCTTAGTCCGTCTGCTGGGAAACATTTAGTTTGGAGATTAAAATGTTGTTTCCAATTGAAATATTTAGTCTGAAACTGTGATATTGATAAATGAATGAATAACTTGGTGAAATATAACGAGATTCTGAAACTGCTGCTGTCTCTTATGACAGTTAAATAAATCAAATTATTACTGTGGTTTAATCCCACAGGCAAATATTGTTGCCAGACATTTTTTCTAACTTCTAGAAGCTTTAAATTAATTGTTTTGACATTTGGCAGCTGCATAAAGTTTTAAAATAAAATAATAGTTTGTGTACTCTAAGCAATATCAATTTCATATATCCAGGGTGAAAGGTCATATGACCAACCCTCTTTGTGATGCTGGTATTGTACTGACTACCAGAAGAAGCTAGTACAATATTTAAATAAACTAATATAAATAAAATATTTTAAACATATGTTCTTCCAAATGTCTACTGCTGATGTATAAAGAAAATTACATCCCTTCAGTCATATGTTGATCATAAGAAGAGTGAATGTAAGCGTGGCAGCAATGGTTGGCTGTAGCATAAACAGCATTATGCTATGCATTCATTGGTTTGCTGTTTAATCTATCTCTTGTTTCCACACAGCTTAAAACCATCAGATATTTTAGATCTTCTAGATCTGAAGGAACCTCAAAATGATATCTTCTGCATCCCTGTCATTCCCACAGTTGAACTCCTCCCCAAAACCTGATACTTTCCACAAAGTTTGCTCTAAGCACTGAATAACTGCTACAAGATGAAGCCACATCTGAAACTAGTTTAGGGCAAGGCTGAGGTGCAGTGCTTGGTCTGGTGGAACAGGGAAAATGTTCTCCAAGATGAACATTTATTCATTCTAACATTTTTACATGACCTTGCCACATTGATGAAATGACCAAATGAGGTCAAAGGTCACTTGGCAAATTGAGACAATGAAACCTGCAGGATGTGGCATTGAATCTTTATGTATCTAAAATATTTCAGAACACTTTTGTAATCATTCTTTGTTATAATAGGTTGTGCATGTCATAATTTTTCTTATTTTATATGTATGAATAGGTCATATTTGTGTAATTCAGACTATGGAGTTTTCCATCGGCAAGAATTGTTGCCAAGTATAAAACCAACATTTTCATTTACATTACCAAAATAAAATGTATTAATTCTAGGGATGCTCCAATGAAGTTTATTGCTGGCGATTCCGATACCGATCACCCATGAGGTCGATCTCTGCCGATCACCTGAATTGGTTATTTATTTTTCACGTTCATTATAAATGGCATTATGTGATGTGGCAAAATGAAAAAGTCATCTGGTAATAAATTCACCTAATTAACATAAACATGCAATAGAGCAGCTACTCAGTCTAAAGGACAACTGAAAAACCAACCAGTTAAGCAATATTTAACAGTGAAGTTCTCTGTATCCTAAATTATACATGAGTCAAATAAGTCTCACAACACTGTCTACATAAAATAATGTCCAGTAAAAGAGGGAAATTCAAAGTCAAATGCAGGTTGCATCAAAATCAACAATCCCGAGTTACTAAATCCAAACTTCCTGAGAGCAGCTAAAGATTAATGCTGATTCTGATTGTCTGATTCTGATTGGCTGGTTCTGAGATTGTTGAGTAATTCTGCACAACACAGGAGGAGGCAGAGGAAATCGGTTATTATAATAACCCTTTTTTCATGAATTATGTCTCATATTTGGGCATAGCGACAGTTTTAATATGTGAATTGTTGTTGTTGTCATTGTTTACATTACCTGCTGCAGCTTTAAGCAGTGAGTTCACTGCAGGTGGAGGTTTAGCAGCACCATGTCTGTGAAATATAACTACCAGTAATAAATAGTGAAGGTTCAACAGCAAGAGGAGAACCAGCATCTTTCACTGCCAGCTTGAAGACTTTTTCTAGTTATTTCTGACCGTGATGCTGATCCAGGTGACTGTTGGTAGTTGAGCTGCTTTACCTGCTGTCTGGTCGCTCAGGATGTCATTTTGTTCCTGCATTGAGCCTCAATGTAGCCAAACTCCATCAAATGCATGTTTTTAAATACCATATTAGATTAATTGTATTGATGCATTTTAACATGCTTCACCTTCGAGGTAATTTTCAGCTGCATCACACAAACTTCCCCATTCACTATCAGAGTGTTATAGTTCCTCATGACAGGATTTGTTGCTGTGCAGTGAGAAGGAAAGATGAGATGAGCTGCACATGCAGGCTGAGAAGGTAGATTGGTTTTGATGATCGACAACAGGAGACAGTGATCACTGATCATATACTTTTTCATGGAAATCAACCAATTATGATCGGTGGCCGATCAATCAACTGACCTCTAATTTATTAATAAATATCATGTTAGGAAGGTCTAAGGATGGAAATATATGCTCTTATTTTGCAGAAACTACTTTGGGATTAAATGGACTGTACAACTTTGCAAACAGCAGCCCATTAAAACATTAGGATTCTTTCACCTGGTGCTTAATGTACCTAGGAAACCAAACCATCTACTGGTATTTACTGATTATTTATCGGTACATTGTTTCCTAGTCTGCTGCTAGCAGGTGATAAGAAAAAGAGAGACAGACTCTCATATGCAACTATTCATGATGTTACATGTTGAAGCAGCAGAAATTCTCTACCTTCTATTGAAAGTGTCACTGATTTAATGCAGTTTATTGTAGATTTTAATATTTCTCTCTCCAGTGTCCTTGTTGTCTGTAGTTCAGTTCTTCAAGTCTTGAGTCCCAACTATAGAATAAACCAGTTCAAAATAAAGATATTATGAAGTTTTGAAAAATATAACCTTCAATCAGTCCAAGAAGAATATTGTTGACTGTAAAGTAACACAAACATTTGATAGATTAATAACAGATTTTCCTCCTTGTCTCCTCAGACTGAGTGGCTGTAACCTCTCAGAGAGAAGCTGTGAAGCTCTGTCCTCAGTTCTCAGCTCCCAGTCCTCCAGTCTCAGAGAACTGGACCTGAGTAACAACAACCTGCAGGATTCAGGAGTGAAGCTTCTCTCTGCTGGACTGAAGAGTCCAAACTGCAACCTGGAAACTCTCAGGTAAAATGTTCTCAATCCTGGTGAAACCAGATTTCTGTCCATTACCTGTTATAAGATATTATGTAAATTTTATTTCAGTATCAGATTATAACATCAGTAGATGTCTGACTGTGATGAGGCTAATCATTCTAAGTCTTGACATATAAACTCAGCTGGTTTTCATTTATTTCAGGCTGAAAGAACCAAGAAGAGAGGAATGTAGAAAGATGGAGATCAGGCTTTAACTGTTAGTGTAACGCTGGACACTTGACAGATTGTTGCATGATCAGAGTACAAAGAAGCATTAATGCAGATTCTTCCTCCAACTAGTTGTTAGACTTTCTTATTTATTTTACAAGTGATAAATTCAGATTTTTATTACCTACAGAATGAAGTAAAGTTTATTACTTTTTAATCTTATTAACAGGTGAATCTTCAGTTTCTTGAGAGTTTTCCTCTCATGAAAATATCTAGTTAAGACCTTGGTTTCTACCTCAATGTTGTCATTTTCTCATCATGTGATGAATTGTGTTTCTGTAGTTTATCAGGCTGTTTGGTCTCAGAGGAAGGTTGTGCTTCTCATACTTTCAGAGACAATAGAGCAGCTACTCAGTCTAAAGGACAACTGAAAAACCAACCAGTTGAGCAATATTTAACAGTCATGCTCTCTGTACCCTAAACTATAGATTAGTTAAATAAATCTCATAACACTTATTATGTCAATAATGTCTAGTAAAAGAGGGAAACATTCATTCAAAGTCAATTTCAGATTGCATCAAAATAAACAATCCTGAGTTACTAAATCTAAACTTCCTGAGAGCAGCTTGTTGATTAATGCTGATTCTGATTGGCTGGTTCTGATTGGCTGGTTCTGACATAGGTGAGTAATTCTGCAGGACACAGGAGGAGGGAGAGGAGATTGATTATCATTATTATTTATTTATTTTTTATGAATTATGTCTCATGTTTTAGCATAGCGACAGCTTTAATATGTGAATTTTTGTTGTTGTCATTTTTTACATTACCTGCTGCAGCTTTAAGCAGTGAGTTCACTGCAGGTGGAGGTTTAGCAGCACCATGTCTGTGAAATATAACTACCAGTAATGAATAGTGAAGGTTCAACAGCAAGAGTATAACCAGTGTCTTTCACCACCAGCTTGAAGACTTTTTCTAGTTATTTCTGACCGTGATGCTGATCCAGGTGACTGTTGGTAGTTGAGCTGCTTTACCTGCTGTCATTTTGTTCCTCATTGAGCCTCAATGTAGCCAAACTCTGTCAACTGCATGTTTTTAAATACCATATTAGATTAATTTTATTGATGCATTTTAACATGCTTCACCTTCGAGGCAATTTTCCGCTGCAATACACAAACTTCTCCATTCACTCTCAGAGCGTTATAGTTCCTCATTCAGAACTTGTTGCTGTGCAGTGAGAAGGAAAGAGGAGATGAGCTGCACATGCAGGCTGAGAAGTGAGATTAATGTGATCGACAACAGGAGACAGTGATCAGTGATCAGACACTTTTTTACAGAAATCAACTGATTATGATCAGTGGTCGATCAATCAACTGACCTCTAATTAATTCATAAATATCATGTTAGGAAGGTCTAAAGATGGAAATGCATGCTCTTGTGTTGCAGAAACTACTTTGGGATTAAATGGACTGTACAACTTTGCAAACAGCAGCCCATTAAAACATTAGGATTCTTTCACCTGGTGCTTAATGTACCTAGGAAACCAAACCATCTACTGGTATTTACTGATTATTTATCGGTACATTGTTTCCTCGTCTGCTGCTAGCAGGTGATGAGTAAAAGAGAGACAGACTCTCATATGCAACTATTCATGATGTTACATGTTGAAGCAGCAGAAATTCTCTACTTTCTATTGAAAGTGTCACTGTATTAATGCAGTTTATTGTAGATTTCAATATTTCTCTCTCCAGTGTCCTTGTTGCCTGTAGTTCAGTTCTTCAAGTCTTGAGTCCCAACTATAGAATAAATTAGTTCAAAATAAAGATATCAAAGTTTAGAAAAATATAACCTTCAATCAGTCCAAGAAGAATATTGTTGACTGTAAAGTAACAAATATTTGATGGATTAATAACAGATTTTCCTCCCTGTCTCCTCAGACTGAGTGACTGTAACCTCTCAGAGAGAAGCTGTGAAGCTCTGTCCTCAGTTCTCAGCTCCCAGTCCTCCAGTCTCAGAGAACTGGACCTGAGTAACAACAACCTGCAGGATTCAGGAGTGAAGCTTCTCTCTGCTGGACTGAAGAGTCCAAACTGCAACCTGGAAACTCTCAGGTAAAATGTTCTCAATCCTGGTGAAACCAGATTTCTGTCCATTACCTGCTATAAGATATTATGTAAATTTTATTTCAGTATCAGATTATAACATCAGTAGATGACTGTGATGAGGCTAATCATGCTAAGTCTTGACACATAAACTCAGCTGGTTTTCATTTATTTCAGGCTGAAAGAACCAAGAAGAGAGGAATGTAGAAAGATGGAGATCAGGCTTTAACTGTTAGTGTAACGCTGGACACTTGACAGATTGTTGCATCATCAGAGTACAAAGAAGTTTTATTGCAGATTCTTCCTCCAACCAGTTGAAAGACTTTATCATTAATTTTACAAATGACAAAGTTAGATTTTTATTACCTACAGAATGTATAAAGTTTTACTAACATTTTACATTAATATGAGAACTAATTTCATTTCTTGTGTGTTTGCCCCATAAAAATATCAGATCTTGGTTTCTACCTCAATATTCTCATTTTCTCATCATGTGATGAATTGTGTGTCTGCAGCTTATCAGGCTGTTTGGTCTCAGAGGAAGGCTGTGCTTCTCTGGCCTCAGCCTGACCTCCAACCCCTCCCATCTGAAAGAGTTGGACCTGAGCTACAATCATCCAGGAGACTCAGGAGTGAAGCTGCTGTCGGCTGGACTGAAGGATCCACACTGGAGACTGGAAGCTCTCAGGTATGGAGGAACCTGCTGCAGGAGCAGAGAAGGTCTGATAGAGGAGGAAGAGGGAGAAATGTCTTTAGTCAGTCTGCTGGGAAACATTTAGTTTGAAGATTAAAATTTATTATGCTAATTCAGTATCTGGCTTGTATTTATTACAGTTAAATTATAAATATTTCTGGTAATTTTGGCTTTGTAAGTTTGCAAATTACATCCAATTAAAAACTGTAGGAATCTTCCACATGGTTCTGAATGAACCTGGGAAACCAACCCTACTGAACCACAATAATGGTATTCAGAGCAGCAGGCCAAATATAGCTCCATGTGGAACCAAGAGGTTGGAGAGAGAATCAGTTGAAACTGTTTCCTATCAGAGTTCAGTTTGTCTCTCTGTCTTCACAAACCAGGAGCATCATGGGCTGGGCGGGCTTCCACTGATGGATCTACTGAGGAAATACAAGAAGCTGATTGGCTGATCGACAGGAAGTTAAAATATGAAGATTAATAACATCATAAATCAGATATTATTGGTGTTGTGTATAGATGTAGTGCTGGATCACATGGTGTTATTATGATTATAGATCAGCTGTTGCTCACCTGGTGACTTTAGTCAGTGATGATGGAGGAGGTTTAGTTTTTACTGATCACTTTAAGCTTTTATGTTTTTATCTCTGATCTTTGTTTAAACCTGTTAATCTGGTTTTAATGCTTTTGGACACAAATATCTGTTATCCACTGATGTTCTGGATCTTTGATAATATTGAGGAAAATAAAATCATCTTAACTGCAGATTGGATTTAAGTTTTGATCAGAGATTTTGTTTGACAGTCGCTAATAATTGGTAATAAAGAGACATGGCTGAGAGCAAATATAGATTTTATCAGTTTTAAATGTTTCAGTGACAGGAAGAAAGAAACAAGAAACATAATAGAGGAACTGATCAAGAAAGATATAATTATTATCAATAACATGTAGTAACTTTAATGCATATGGAATATAATGGGATGGAAACAGAAAACTGAAAGTAACTGAAAGAGCAGAAGAACATTTAGAGATACGAACTGATGATGTTTGAATGATGGAAAAGAGACAAAAGATGTTGATGAAGGAAACGGATCAGTTCTTGATTTAACACTCTGGTTTAGGAAGATTTCAGCTGATTGTGGAAAATTCTTCTGACTAAGAACGTGAGGAGAGCCTGGAGCTAAATAGGAACTGGAAATAATAATGAATTTATTCTGATTCAACATCTTCAAACTTTCACATCACTCATTCAGGAGTCTAAGGAGTTCAGCTGTTAGATTCCTATGATGATTTACTGAGGATAGAAACATTAAAACCATGTTGGATGGAGCTTCAGACCAATCAGCCCCCAGAAGCAAAGAGGAGAAGAAAAGCAGCTCCATGGTGATCAGATGGATGTTTAAAGATCTCAGAGTGAAATAAATAAATTCAGATTTAAAGCAAACCTTAAAATATAAAACACACGAAAAATGAAGAAAACTATTCATAAGGCAAAGAGATTTAGAAGTTTAGTAGATCCATCTATGTGGCAGTTTATCTCCACCAGGGGGCGACATCTGGAAAATGATCAAAAGTATGAATGAAATCAGGGAATAAAAGAAATCCCTTGTTTTCCAGAAGGAAGGAAGAATTGAAGTGAATGATGAAAAAGTAGAAAATGTAAAAATGAGAGCAGAAACTGGTTCAGATCCAAAGTTCTGATAAATTTACTAGGAAAGATAAAAAGACAAGATCAGCTCATCCAGAACTTCTGCAGTGGAGGGAGGATTACTTTCACAAGCCATTACTGCAGCTGCTGGGTTCAGGATGCTGCTTCTTCTTCTTGGGCTCATTGTAAATGTGTGCAGCGCCACCTGGTGCTGGTTGGTAGAGGAAGTGCTGAAAGAGACTGATGGTCTGACCCCCCTCCTCCCTTCAGGGTGGAGCCTGCTGGAGGCCGATTCTTGACTCCAGGTCCATGGAGACTGAAGAGATGTAAGTGTGTTTTTCATCTGATTCATGATAACAAAGCAGCTCACATTCAACCATCTTCAAACTGTCACATCACTCATTCAGGAGTCAAAGTGTCAATAAATGATCAATAACTGCAGCTGGATTGTGTTTGTTCTCCATCAGATTCCTGTCAACTCACCATCGACACAAACACAGTGAACAGAAAACTCAAACTGTCTGAAGACAACAGGAAGGTGACACGTGTGGAGGAGCTTCAGTCATATCCTGATCATCCAGACAGATTTGATTACTGGAATCAGCTGCTGTGTAGAACTGGTCTGACTGGTCGCTGTTACTGGGAGGTTGAGTGGAGAGGATATGTTTTTATATCAGTGAGTTACAGAAAAATCAGGAGGAAAAGAGACATTAGAGACTGTTTGTTTGGATGTAATGATCATTCCTGGAGTCTGAGTTGCTCTGATCGTCATGGTTTCTCTGTCTGGCACAATAACATAGAAACCAGTCTTTCCTCCTCCTCTGTCTCTAACAGAGTAGCAGTGTATGTGGACTGTCCTGCTGGCATTCTGTCCTTCTACAGAGTCTCCTCTGACTCACTGATCCTCCTCCACACCTTCAACACCACATTCACTGAACCTCTGATTCCTGGATTTACAGTCTGGTGGCCCAGTTCTGGTTCCTCTTCAGTGTTTCTGTTCTGATTTGAGTCCAAAGAGTCTAAAGTTTTTCATCCTGCTAGAAAATCTCACTGATTAAAAGATAATTCAGTCTCTATATGTCTGTTTCATTCAGAAACATATTTTCATGGATCCAAACTGCTTCTTGGTTAAACTCTTCTACACAACCCTGGGATTATTCCAGGATTATTCCAGGATTATAACTGGATCAACATGTTGTTTTTTTCTGTTTCCAGTCAAAGATTCACAATAAATCTCAGGATGTTTTGTTTCTCTCTTGATTTTTTCCTTTCATTTATCATCAGATTCTTTGAATTTACTGCAGTTTTTCTCAATAACTGGACATGTTTTTGTTTCTGTTATCTCCTATATTCTTAAATTCATCTTGGATTCAAATGTTATTTTTTTGTATATTTACTGCAGTTGTACTTTCTGTGTTTTAATGAGCAATAAACACATTTTATTTAAAATATAATTTTGTTAATAAAAATTAATCTACTGCCAACAGCAGACATGATTCAGTTTAATGGATCCACCATGTTGGAGAAGGAAGAGAGGAAAATATTCTTCTTCTCTGACCTAAGAAATGATGATTGTCATGTTATTATCAATTTGGACATAAAAAGTTAATATTGATACAAATACAGCCGTCAAACCTGACCCAGTTCTGCTGGTTCTGTCAGGAGGAATGGACCAGAACTCCAACAAGCTCTCATGAGAACCTTGTGGAGGAAACACTGATATTTGACAAAGTTTCATGAAAATTTAACCAAAACCTGAGGAGATAAAATTCAGATTTACTGGAGGTTATTAGAGTTCTGGGTCCTAAATGTTTTTACTACATATAAATGATATTTATAATGAATCTAACTGGTTCACATTTACTTTATTTGCTGATGGTTCTACATTATGAAGCTCTGGGATGTTTTTAGAAGCTTCTCAGTTTAATGGACCCACCATGTTGGAGACCATTAAATACAAGCATTGAAGAAATGGTATGGTATAAAAATAAAATATCATGAATTGTTGGCAAAAGAAAAGTTTTGATATTTAGTAACAAGAAAATAAAAAGTGATATCAAGCTGATGATAACAGAAATAAAACAAATGTTTGTCTCTAGGCAGCGGCGGTCCGTAGTGTTCTGGGGTCCACCTGGATTTAGCTGACCTTAATAATTCCTGCCTTGTATTTTGGTCATTTTTGTTACGATTAGTGTTGATATGTGTGTGATAGGCGAGTCTATCAGACATTTATAGAATTACGGAACAAATTGCGTTTCCTTTCGGTTCATTACTGAACGATTCCGTATAACCTCCTGATGACCAGGAAAAAAAATATTGTCCAATCACCATTTTTTAAAATTCCACAACTTTGTAAGGTTTTTAGAATACTGAAAACATTTTTTGGGGAAAAAAAGTTAGTTTTGAAATATAATGTGTCCACTACAGTGGACATCGGAATGCCATACATTTGAAATTGGGAACCAGTTTGCCCAAAGAAAATATCCAAACATCAACAATTCCACATTGACAAAACTGTCCATCATCACTAACATAAATATTAGCGTGAGTATCATAGCAATTCCTGTGCTACTGGACTGAGCTGTGGACTGTCATGTTTTATCTGACTCTGCATCTGTTTGCCCTATTTGAATTTCATCCTCAGAGCTCTCTGAACTTCCTCTGCTACTGCCTGAAACATTGCATCTTCATCTTCTTCATCAGATACTGTACTTTAACAAAGACAGAAAAGACAAAAGAGTTAGATTCTTGCTACTCGCGAGGAGAACAGACAGAGATGTGCTTCAGTCACAATCTCCTGCCGCTCTGAAGCATATTTGTCTGCTCCTCTCTTTTTATTGTTTTCAGGATCCCTAATCACAAGGACACTGTAGCTCTAAAGGGAGGGGAACAACTCATCACATAGCTACAGCGTCAAATGTTATTCACTAACTAACACACAATCATTCTGCACTAGACAATCTCCTTCCAGGCACAAAGTTTAATAAAATATGTAATGATCTTAGCAATGATGGTTTTATTGGAGGCCAGCAACTCAACGGAAGCAGAGCTCTTCACCAAGAGGTAAACCTGCAGGAAGATTGTTGTCTCTGCTCTCTGTCAGTGAGGCCTTCTGAGAAAGGAATCAGAGTAAATCAACAATACAAGAAACATTCTTAATTCTATAATGACATCAAATGATAAAGGCACAAAAGAAAGACAATATGATAAGATTATATGAGAATAACAATATTTGATTAATAATATCACAATTTCTCCAACAATCCATCAGAGACTCAAACCAGAACCAGAACCAGAACCCAGCTGTGTGTCCTTTAAAAGTGACAGGTCAAAGATTGAAATCCTTGACTTTAAATCTCCTGGATCTCCACCATCAGAGAGGTGAGCTGTTTCTAACTGCTGTAACTTCTGTTTATATCTGTTATTGTGGCCATGTGATAATAAGTTCTGTTGGGTTCTGTTGTCATGAAAACATTGGACTGAATATTATTTTCTTTTAATATGTGCTCTTCATTAATGACATTGATGTCTCTCAATAATCAACTTGGGAAGATTGTATCATGGACTTCATAGGATCCAAATATGTGTTTTTGGGTTGTTGGTGACTAGATGGGACAATGGCCTCCAGTATAAGAACCAAGAGCTGATAGTTATTGAACCTGGAGGCCATGCAAGTTGCTGACTGCTGTGGTGGAGTCATTGTTAACGCTGCTTCTGTGTATCATGGAATAAATGGATTTGTTCACAAATGGTTCATCTGACTGGAACAAATTCAGAATTTGAACAACAAAGATCTCTGAGTTTTACTTTACATGCAATCAACAGGTACAACGTTATCCACTCACCGTGTCATAAAAAAGCAGCAACGGATCAACACTTAACTAGTTCAGTATTAAACTGGCTGCTATACTGTCAAGGAATTTGCCCATTTTGGAGTCTGATGACCTCTGATGTTTTTGAACAAAGCCATGGAGACTATGTGGAGCAGACAGAGAGTTTGGGCTGTTAGGCGCTGGTGAAGTGGTTGCTAGGACAATCACTACAGAGCTGAATTATCAGGCTGTGGCCTCAGCAGAAAAGGGTTGGATGGACACAATGGCATACTGACAGTGATTGAAAGGACGTGAAACCATTGGACCACGGCAGCAATGGATCGGATGGATGCGGTGGCAAACAGCCAGTGATTGAGGAGGATGAGCTCACTGGATGGAGAACCTGGGTCTTTGAAGGTCATTGTGGATTGAATCACAGAATGTCAACAGGCGCCCAACGAGGTTTGTGTAGTGCTACAACTTTGACGGTGTGAAGTGCACAATTCAGAGACTGAGGTCCAGACAAAAGTCAGGGAGCAAAAACAATCTTTAATACATCTGCAGACGGAGAGCAAAAATCCTCTGCATTAGGCGAAAATCATTCTGCTGTAACAAACTCAGAGTTGCATAGTTGCTTTATTCACCTCTCTCTGCTAACAGAGGCAGAGACTCAATCTGCTAAGACCAAACAAAAGAAACAAAGGAAAACAGACGGAACAGTTCAACCTTTTACTCTCATTCACTATCATGTCTACGGGATGTGAAAACTAAACACTTTATCTCCATGCAGGGAAAAACAGCAAGTTCCCAGATAATCCGTCTGGGAAACTTCAACAGATCCATCTTGTTCAGTTAATTTGTAAACCCTCTGCAGCTAAACGAAAAAACATTTTCAATATGCTACACTGTATGATGCAAATAAAAGATTTTCTCTGAAAAAAAAATCTACTTCACAAGTTCTTCAAAGGCATCATCCACGACAGAGACCCAAAGGATGAAACTGTCAAGGTGAGCATACAGGTGCAGGTTAATACATTTAGAATAGTTTAATAATTCAGTTCAAAAAGTGAAACATTTACATTCAGTACTCAAAATGTATCAATTTTGATAATCAAGTTATGAAAACCACAAATAGTTTTCTCATAAAATTTAAATATTACACAAGACCAGTTCAAATGTCTACTTTGATACTAATGTTAAATATTTTTAACTATAAAATGTATTTTACAAAAAAAGCAGGTAGCTTAGTGTGTTTTATGCAAGTATGGAAAGCTTAGTGGAAGAAAAAACTTTGAAAACAGAATAATTTCACATGCAATTCACTTTTTGAACTGAATTATTGTAACAAATCAGTGGCAATCTTTGCCGAGATTCATCTTTGGACCTAAAGTGGATCCCCAAAGTGGATTCCTAAAGTGGGTCCCCAAAGTGGGTCCCTAAAGTGGATCCCCAAAGTGGATTCCTAAAGTGGGTCCCCAAAGTGGATCCCCAAAGTGGATCCTCAAGAAGTTCTCGAGGACCGACATCCTGCATGTTTTACTTTTCTCCCTGGTTTAAAACGCCTGGATCAAATTGTGGCTCATCAGAAGGTCTGAGAAAAACACTGACATGCTGAGAAGGTTGTTTGTACCACTAGGGGGAGAACTAAACCTGCAGAATGCCGGCCCTCGAGGATCCACTTTGGGGACCCCTGCTGTAAATCAAACATGTCCGTTATCATTTCCTGGAGCCTTCTTATGTTTTCAGCAGTATTTATTGTTTTGGTAATAATCTCAGTTTGGTGGGTTATGAAGGTGAAGGAGGAAGCCAAACCAAAGTTCTACGGGACGGTGACTCCGTATCCAAACTTCAGTGCCAGCAGTGATGCATCGACCCTTCAGAGCGCCATCCAAAGTAAAAGTGTGTGACCAGAAATGTTCTTGTTTCTGTCAAATGCATGTTTTAATTTTGATAAATGACTGAAAACCTTTACCATTTCAGGTCATTTTTGGTTTTCATTGAGGCTTTAGCTTTGGAGAAATGACCATTTTTAGTAATAGTTGTATTTTTTTCTGTCTAGAGGTGGATGTGGATGTGATCGTTGCCATTCTGGTGAAGAGGAACAACGAGCAGAGGCAGAAATTAAAGCCGTTTACGAATCGTCCTCTGGAAAAGTAAGTTGTTGCTGCACAAAGATGCAAAAGATGTAAAA